CCACCTCAGTTTCTCCATCTGTAATGGGGGATGATAATTCTATAGCCTTAAATGAGCTACTAATATAAAGCATTTGATAGCCATACCTTATACATAGGACGTGTTCAATAAATGCTACTGTTTTCATTCTACTACACACTGTAATACCTAGTCTGGTCACGTAATCCTAAGAACACAGTCTTTCAAATGTGACTGCAAACTTTAAAAAACCTGGATAGGCTTGCTCTGATGTGGCTTAGAGTGTAAAAAGATCTTTCTGTTATCTCCAAACAGAAAGGCAAAGGGAAGTTTTTCCTCTCTTAGCTTCTCCAGATGGTACAATATTGTAACCCAGCACCTAAAAGTGAGACCTGGTTGATTACTCATATAAGAGAAAAACGTATTTATATCTTTAACTGCTGATATCTGTTCATGTCTTTAAATGGTACTGACCTATTTGCTCTATTTGCAAAGGAATTCTGTTATAACCTCAGGGAATTTACTGACAGCAGCAAGAGTATGTTTAGGCTCTTTTACAAAGCTATTGCAAGCTCCTAGTGGGGTGAAACCCAGTTTGCAATGTTCTTTATTCTGTAGAAGAAAAGTCATTGTAAAGCAGCAGGATAGTGTTGTCCGAATTACTGGGCTTGGCAACATTTTCATAGCCATCGTTAAAGGCTGGTGGACTCATAAGTATTGACACAGTTAGGAGGACTGCTTATTAGTTTAAGTCAAGCCCTATCAGCCTTGTCATCAACTGTTACACTCAATTTTCCCTTCTGAGCACAGCTACCTGTTTAACTACCTGGAAATTAACTTGAAACTTAATTTGAAACCTTGGAAAAATATCATCCTTAGAAAAATTTAAGAGAAATAAAGTTCATTTCTTAATAATGCTAGCCCTTAGAATAATGTACTACAATCTTGCTTCTCAAAGTGCTGTCCATATACCAGCAATCGGCATCACCTGGGAGTTGTTAAAAATGTAGGCTATCAGACCCCATCCCAAAACTCTGAATAAAAACCTGCATTTTAACATTTTGAGATCCCAGAGTGATTCAGATACACATTAAAGAATGGGAAACACTGGCTTAGAGAAAGTGGTGACAGGTGGTTATTGTTTGGTGTCACCAAGAGGATGGTAATTAGACATAACTGAAGCATATACCAGAAACCTCTGGAATCAAATATTAAAATAACAGTGGGATTTAACAAGAGTGGACATTTCGTAAATAAAATTTCTTTTTCTTTTGGGTATTATTTAGAAAATTGGCTCATTTTAGTTTTTTTTGGGGGGGTGGGTGCTTTTATTGTTAATTTTAATGCCTATAAGAACATTCACTATGGCATCCATGTATGCATAAAGGAAGGAAACAATGAATACACAGTAGCTATCCATTCCTGGGAACAGCTTGGGTTGAGACCTACTTTGAGTTAGGACTCAATAGATTTCAAGTTTTCTGGGGATGGCCACTCAGACCATCACGTCTTTAGATCAGAGACAGAGAGCTCTGTGGCTGGAACTCCTCCTTGATGACCAGAAGCTGCCTCTTTAATAAGACGGAAGGGCTAGTCATTGGAATCTGAAATACAAGGGTTCAACCTTTTGTTTGCAGGTAGTTAATATCTTGTTCCCCCAATCCACTACTCTGAGAGAAGACTTCCTTACTATTATCTGTGTTTTACTGGGCTTATATTAGCAGGTGTTAGTGGTTATTTTAAGGCAATTTCTGGGGGCTACTGTCTCCTTTTGTTCCAACTGCCTCTTATTCCTCTTCAGTCATCCTTGTGTGTGTGTGTGTGTGTGTGTGTGTGTGTGTGTGTGTGTGTGTAGGTATACAGCTTGGCAGAAATTGTTAAGAGAGAAGGTTTGAGGAATTTTAAATATATGGAAATCACAGTCGTTTTTTTAAGATGATAGAAGATAATAGTATGTAGTCACTATCATAGGCACAATACATCCCATGATGCCAAAAGAAAAATCCTTCCTAATTTAATGAACAATATTATTGCCTGAAAAGAAAACTCTTACTCTCAAGTATGGTTTTTTTCCCTGCGTCAGAATTATTCTTCAGCAGTTTTCCATTCACTGCTCAAAACCAACAATTATTGATTATAGAGATTCTATAAAAACTCTCTCTCTTTCAAATTTGGGAAAAATATTTTAAATCCTGAAGGATGTGAATCAGAAAATACTGTTGATGTGGCGTTAGTCTTTAATAAAACAGACAATGTTAGAAACCAATCTGGAATTATATTTCACTTAGCATAGCATAGGAAAAGAACAAAAATTAACAGTCTAGTTTTCAAACCCATTAATGTAATGTACAATTATGTGATTTTCCCAGATGTGGAAATGGGTGGATAATAATGGTAATGAATAAAAATATAAAAATGAGCATTGTTTTAGCAATGGATTTTAATCTGAATTTTCTTTAAAACTATTTTTATTATATTTGATGTCCATTTTTATTTGTTGTTAATTTTGTTGAAAATTTCCTATTAAATTATCTCAGAAGTTACTGCCTATCAGGGTTCTGAAACACGCTTAATATAAAAGCAATAAGTCTTATTTCCCATTGACATTTCAACTCTACTTTATGATCTAAAAATCAAAGCATACCACAGACAGTGCTCTTAAACAGGGCTAACTATCCAGATTTTGCTTATATAGAACCCTCAATCCTAAAATTCCTCTTTGTTTCCAATTTTTTTGGAGTTATTTCCAATCTATGTATTCCCATGCTTTGTTATAGATGATAGAAGAAAAAATAAACCTTGGGTCTTGTTGGTAGATTTCATTAAAAAGAGAAGCAAGGAAGAATAAGTAAATTAAAGTTTATTATTTTCCTATGTTCAGTGGTTTCTATTTTCCCATCATGTCTCTAACACTATTGTGGAAAGGTAATGGGTAATTTAGTAGAATATATTTTTTAAAGGTTTATCTGTTGGGTGAATATTTAAAAAACTCAAGTACATATACACACGGTACAGTGAGTAAATAGATTATATTATTCCATCATTAAGAGCTATTTCCAGTGGTACAGCAATTAACTTAATTATTTTTTTTCTGAGCTTCTGTATGAATTCAGTTGAACAACTGATTATACAGAGCTTTTTTGTTATGGTGGTTGTTTTAGTTAAACAGCAACTTCCCTATTCTATTCAGTTTTGGTTTTGTCTTTGGTTTTAAACTGAAAAGTTGTTTGTAAATATAGTCAACAGAATTATACATTTAAAAAATTCTGAAAAGCGTAGTACTCTAAAAGCAGACCACTGGCAAAGGCACTGTTTGCCTTTTGAGTCTTCTGAATCTTCTCCTATTTTATAAATTATCTGTGTGGGTACTTACAAGGTGCCAAAATAAATGACTGAAAAGGAAATTATTATCATCATTTATCTACATGATACAAACAACTTAAACTAATTCATTGCCTAATTTATCCAGTCACAATGGTGTGGATCGGGTATGATTTGTATATGTGCCCATGTTATTACATTCCCCAGTGTTTGTCAATAGTTCATCTTGGGTGCTTTGTGGTAGTGACACGTATGTGACAGAATTTTATAAATGAGTCTATTAAAAATCTTTTCCAAGTCAGAGAATATTCATTGTGCATTGATATTTCAAAATTGTTTTTCTAATACAGCCATCAGAGATATTAATTTAAAATAATATTTAAAATAAGCTATTTAAAGCAGGGGAAAGTGCAACTTTAAAATACAGAAATTTAATAGTTACACTTTTTATTCTAATCCCACTCAATATATTTTAAATATACGTATTTTTCCCTGACATACCTTAAAAAAAAAAAAGAAAGAAAAATTCTTAAGCCTTAGCGTGTTAAAATAAAATGACTCACTAATAATGAAATGAAATGACAATTCAATAGCCTGTACAAAAATAGAGTGATAAAACCCCCAGAGGCTTTAGTCTTTAAATTATTCAGGCTGTCTAAATTTCTGCTGCCACAATATTTTTTTTTCGCAAGTGGAATAAAAATGGCATTTTGCTCAGGTAGATCTAGCTGTTCCCTGGGTGGTTGGTTCTAGAAAAGCGACAGGCTTTCCCCCCTGCCTTACAAGAAGCAACAGTTGGAAACTCTAACTAGAAAACTGCTACCACACAGTGGTTGGAAAGCGCCAACAGAGATAGTGACAGCTATGATTTCAATCCATTTTGCAACAGCTTCAGAAAGGCAGGAGGAAAAATGAAATAAAAGAATGTTAACTCTTTGCAATGAAAAGATTGCGCTATGCTCCCTATGTTACTATCGCCCTCTCCTTCCCCCTCCCTTTTCTACAGTCTCTTTGATCATCAGGCTTTTTTCGGCATGCTTGGGTTTGTAAGGCAAAGCAAAGCAATAACTCCATCCATTCGGTTTGAACTTAAACTCGCAAGATGCAGCAAGACAAATTCATCAACCCTCACGTGGGAACAATACAAGCCTCTCCCCAGAATCTGGCTTGAGCACTTTGACACCGTTGTCTCAGCCTGTTGCTCCTGCCACTCGGTGTGCTAGAGCCTGGAAAGAGGGAGGGAACACTATGAAACCTCATCTGTGTGCTTGGGTGCTTTGTGGCGGGCCATGGGTGGGTCCGGTTCACCCGCTGCCGGGACCGTGCCTGCGGAGTAGGCGGCCGCGGACCACCGTGCGGGGACCCTCTCGTGCAGGCCGCCCGGCCACCGGCAGGTGGTGCCCTACGCCTCTCAACACCGAAGGAAGCCCAGCGAAAGTACCGCTGACTCCGCCCCACCGGCTCTGCCGGCGCCACAGTCACCGTCCTTCCCCAAATAGTGCGGAACACGTTTCCTCCGGAACACCGCAGTAGCCCGTGTGTGTGTCGAAAATACAAACCAGGGCCAGCAGGGTGTGTGTGTGCCAGAGTGGGGAGCGGGCGCGGAGCGGGATCCATGGGCCGGGGCGAGGTGACCGCCAACGAAACGCAGAGGGCAAGGGGACCGGTCCGTTTCGCATCTGCGTAAGCCCGGCTGCCGGGCCAGTAGCAAGGCCACTCACCATGTTCACTTCGGAGACCATGTCTATGCTGGCGACATCGATCCTCATCCCGACGTCCACGGGGGGCCCTACCGGGGAGGTGGGACACATTATGGGCATAATCTCAGAGTGGCCACAGGCTGGGGAGGGTCGGGGGGCTTCCCTGAGCTTACTACATTCTGAATGGGCTCCGCCACCCCCAGCCCTCCACCCCCTTGCCGGGGACAGCCTGGGAAAACAGGTGTGGGCACACGAGTGATGCAGTGACTATGCAGAGGGTGTGTCGGGCCGGGGGAAGGTCGGCTCTGCCTGGGGTTCATCCACCTGCGACTGGGGCTCCGGCGTGGTGTGTGTGTGTGTGTGTGTGTGTGGCCAGAGCGTAGGGCGTAAGGCACGCTTACCATAATGACATGTTTCTTCTTTTTTTTTTTTTTTTTTTTGACATTTG